GGTAAAATACTGATTCACTTATATCACACCCTCAGATTTCTGGTAAAACATTAATCGAATTATAACTTTAAATTTGTGGCATATCATTGGGTGAATTATTTAAAGCTTATTAAATTATTGTTGTCTACTTGGATATCAGGGATTCTTCATACATCGAGAGAAAATTTGAAGAACTTACCAACAATCTTTTAAAATTATTATTGCTAATGTGGACTTCAGAAATTCCAGATATTTCAAAAAACATATTGACTGGAAGCATTTTCACCACATTAAATTATTGTCGTTGATGAGAACGTCCTACATTATTCAGGTCTCTAAAAGGACATTGAGAGGATTTACTTAAAGTCGATCCATACATTATTGTTATCAATAAGGACATCGGAGATTCTTCAGATCCCTCCCCCCAAAAAAAAATTGAGTGGATTATTTAATGCTCATTAAGATACTGTTTGAACAGTGATTAAAGATAAACCATATTTATCGCGTCTAAAACTATACCGCCCTGTTCGATTTTCTTACAGTAAGTTGCCATTATTTATTGAAAGTTATCGAAGCATCAGCCACTTCTGTAGATCTTCAGACGTCTCATCTGTTTAGTTCTTTACGTATTACATACATTCTTCTTGAAAATAAAACTTTCCCTTCTTAATAATCATTACTTTACTTACTTAATGTTGTTGTAATGATCTAGATACGATACCACTAAACACTTGGTGATCCATGATTTATATATGATACCACTAAACATTTAGTGATCCATGATTTATATATGATACCACTAAACACTTGGTGATCCATGATTTATATATGATACCACTGAACACTTGGTGATCCATGATTTATATATGTAATCACTAAACACTTGGTGATCCATGATTTATATATGATATCACTAAACACTTTGTGTTCTATGATTTAGATATGATACCACTAAACAGTTGGTGATCCATGATTTATATATGATACCACTAAACACTTGGTGTTCTATGATTTAGATATGATACCACTAAACACTTGGTGTTCATGATTTATATATGATACCACTAAACACTTGGTGTTCATGATCTAGATATGATATCACCAAACACTTAATGTTCCATGATTTAGATATGATACCACTAAACACTTGGTGTTCCATGATCTGGATATGATACCACTAAACACTTAATGTTCCATGATTTAGATATGATACCACTAAACACTTGGTGTTCCATGATCTGGATATGATACCACTAAACACTTAATGTTCCATGATTTAGATATGATACCACTAAACACTT